GGAAGCACCATCTAGGCCCTCGCCGGCCACTCGCAAACGAACCAATTCAGCCCCTATGTCTCTTCCCTCTTCCTCACTCTCTCCATTCCCTGTGGTCACTCCGAGTGGGGTTTCGTTGCTTTGTATCATATTCCGGTTTCCTGCAAGCTAGTTCTCTGTTCGCGCGTTCCCTGAGGGTTTTCAGTTTCCTGGTCTGGGTCACCTTTTCCTCCCATCCATCTCCTTTCAACTAGCCACTTCTTAATCATTACTCTTTTAAAGTTTGGCGCGCGGGATCACATTTGCAAAACTGTGCGTGTGTGAAGGGGCACAATATAACTTGGAGCATAAAGTGAATCTGTAGCCTGCGCTGCTCTTTTACAAAGTAAATTTGAAAAGAAAACTAAGATATTCGGTTTGCTTGACTATGCTTTCGAACCACACAACTCACCACACAGTGCTCTTAAAATCGTAGCAAAAAGCATGGAGCGTGAGCTGAGCCAAGACACATCCCAGAACGATAAGGGCTCCGCAGGCCTGAGTGGAGGCTGTCTGGGAGGACCCAGGATCCTGACTCTGCTCACCCGGCGGGAGGTTGGTGTTGGTGGGTATCGGCGTTGGTCATTTGTGGGGCCCACACTTGGCCCAAAGCCCTCCGGGGACGCTGCCTGTGTTTCCTGCTCTTGGCTCCTTACGGCCGCTGAACTGAAAAGCGCCCAGCCGGTAGTTGTTATTTTTGCTCTGCGGGACGTGAGAAGGACTTAATCTATTTGTTTAGGTTTCTCCTGAAGATCTCGAAATGCACGGGGCCTCGGTACATCTTGGCCTATTGCGACCGGCACGTTTCGTTTGCACTCAAATAACTCCTCGAAACAGTCTCACCAAAAATCAGAGACGCAGGAGAGGTGACGTGGGAACGACTGTCGCTTCAAGGAAGATCTTGTATCGAAACCCATGCAGCTTTAACATTCGGGTATTGGTTTCAAGCAAACCGCCAGGGAGTATTCACCCGCAACCCCTCCTGCCGCCGCCAACCCTAGTCCCAAGAAGGGCAGGTACTCTCTTCCTCCCTCCTCTTCGCCTCACGTTTTGAGCACTGACTGCCTCTCCTATCTCTGCCTTAGGAAACTTGGGTCAGTTTCCGGGGTTACATGGGGGACCGTCGAGTCCCTCCTCTGTCCCTCTGGAGATCCAGCCCCAGTTGGACGCGTCACGCCCCGGGTGCCGGCGCGCGCCCTTAGCTCAGCGGCTCCCGCGACCCTGGGAGCCGCTTTTCACCTTATTCCAAGCCGCGCCCAGGGCGCTCAAAACTACGGAGCCAAACACAGCCAAGCACAGACGTGGATCCCGCGAACTTTTTACCTCTGCGCGCTCAGCGCTGGCCCCGTCGCCGCTCCCTGGTCATAGAGGGGATAAAGCTGCCTCTCGTGGAGGTGAAAGAGACGTTTCCTTTCGTTCTGCAACCTCACCTTTGGGCCACCTCTCCTCTAACCTAGCCAGCCACGCGAACTCGCAGAGCAGCGCCGCGGGCCGACAGGGGGCGACAAACTGTAAGCTTTTCCGAAGGCTGGTTGTGAGCAGGCTGCACGAGCGCTGTGTGGTCCCGGCGGCGGGGTTGGAGGAAGATGGGATGTGAAGTGAGGGCCGGCAGGCTCTGACACCTTAGAGAGACCCTGGACGCAGTCCGCGGACCATCTACCACAGTTCCAGACAAACTTCGCTGAGGGGAATGCGGGAAGATGCCTTTCTTGGCTGCACCTCCCTATACTTCGTTGCCAGAGCCTCGCGCTCTACTGGCAGAGGTGGGGTGATTTCCCCCCTGACAGTGCAGTTAGGACGGAATCAGCTCTCAAGAGGCACCGCCGGCTTTATTGTTTCTTCTCTGAGCGTGCCTGTCGACTCCTCACGTACAAGGGAAAGAAATGGCTTTAGCTGCTTCACTTTATCTCAGGGGATGGATACTGAAGTTTCCAGCTATAGGAACAGTCTTTTTGGTCTCGGGCCTGACTTGAAATTCAGTCAACGGAAGTCTAGATCAGGGGCAAACAGGGTCCAAAAACACCTGGACATAACTGTGCGGGGGTGCATCGCACTGGGCGCAGCCTCGGAGCCCTTATCAGCTGGCGCATGTTCAATCTTGCTCCATACCTTGGAAGAACTCCTGGCTGCGGTTTGCCCACCATAATCCAAACCACCACTTTACCCAGTCCTTGCCCCAACCCTGCACAGTCGTGTACTGGCCTAGTCGTCTAAATAGTACCCCACCCTCGTCAGCGTAGCCTGTCCTTTCTGATCCCTGTGGCCTTCCTGAGGCTGCACTGTGTTCTCCGTGATGCGGGAGGAGAGAGTCCTCGCCACCTTAGAACTTGAGTTTTCTTTCCAAGGATAATTCTTGACTGTGGCTACGCTCCAGCCCTGCTGACCCTGTGCCTTCCCTCCAGAGAGCCCAGGATTTATGGTTCAGGCCCTCCTAAAATGACACATTTGGACAGGTTGATTCGGAGCCGGCTTTCTGATCCCGCAGCAGAGGTAAAGGGGTCAGGCTGCTCTGATCGGGTCCATCTGCAGCATCGCGCGAGTGCCATGCGCAGCTCTCCGCCAGCTCCCAAGCATTAGACTGTCCGCAGGAGGGTAGCGGGAATGCTTCCCGCTTCCTGAGGAGAGCACTAGGCTCCCTCCTAGGTCCCCTTTCCTCTATTGTACCTTTAATCCAATGCCCTTGGCTCTTACTGGCCTCAAACTCAGAAGTCCCAGGTCCCTGCCTCCTCGCGTCAGTTCAGGGCAAAATCAGAAGCTTTCTCCCTCCACCTGCCCTCTCATGGACCCCACCACAGGGCTTCCTCTGCGACTGCCACAGTTAGGACACAGGTTTGGATGTCTAGAACTGGGCGTTGATGCAAAATAGAAATACGGAAAAGAGTTGACGTTCGTGTTAAGGCCAAAGAGTTCAGGGCTAAGCAAAGTCCTGCTTAAATGGAGGGGAAGGACCATTCAGTGACTTAACAAAGACCTCCGGGAAGCCGCGGGTGTTGGGTGAAAGGTGAGGCCAGGCCGCCCAGGTGTGGAAGGATTCAGGGTTCCCCGTCCGGATTAGGAAAAAGAAAAACAAAAAACAAAAAAACCAAACTGTCCTTCAGGCCTAGAGCGGGAGCTACCGGCGCGTGCAGTGTACGGCAGGCAGCCAGGACACGCCTGGGGTCCAGAGAGCCCAGGCTGTCTACCCTGGAGGCAGCAGATCGGAATCCCTTTCAGACCTGCATCCTGTGTCACTTTAGAAAGGAATGAATTCAGGTAGATGGGCCTATCTGCAGGAAGACAGAATCTAGAATGTGCCTCTCTCACATCACTGAAATCACAGCACTATCCCAAGGGAGAGGGTGGCTATTAAATATTGTAAAGGTTTCCTGAAAGCAGGCTTGGGGTGCCGGCCAGAATGGGTCATGCGGAAGCCTTGGGCCCTTCACCCTGCATCATGATGAATGCTCCCTGCTGCTGCTACACTCGCAAGCCGCAAGCCGGAAATGGGGCACTGGAACCACTCTTTCTGTACCCCCTGCCCAGAGAAAGGGGCGGTAGAGGCAGTCATACACTGACCACCTTGCCAGAATCAACTTTAACATTTTAATATCTTAGCAGTAGTGGTGGTAGATATAGTAATAACGCTAAAACCAAAACTAGTACTAGTACTAATAAATATCTATCAATTGAAATGACTACCCTATCTCTATTACAACTGGAGAGGTAAGGGGCTTCGAGGGGAGATGAGCAAGTGGAAGGTTTCAGGCCTTCCAGGCCGAGCTTGGGCTAGGACGTGTGTGTGTGTGTGTGTGTGTGTGTGTGTGTGTGTGTGTGTAGGGGGAGGGTTTCAGAGGAGGGCCAAAGGGGGAGGAGGGGGTAATGTTTCACCGCGGGGAGGGGGCCGCAGGGGTGCAGTGACGGGAACCAATGAGCTGCCAACTTGCGCGTCTCCGGCGTGACTGCCGAGATTGACGTGGAGGACACGTCAAATTGATTCCCGCAAGCTGCAGCCTCCCGGTCAGACGAATTTCTCTTAATCGGATGAAGTTCACCCTGGGCCTGGGGTCGCGGGCGTGGAGAGTGTCCTGGGAGGCGGCGGCGGCAGCTGCAGCAGCAGGTCCGGGGGCGGACGGCAGCGCGCTCAGCGGCGGCGCACAGCGCGTTTCCAGCCCGCGGCCTGGCCGCCGGGGCGCTCGGCTCGCGCGCGTCCTCCCTCTATGCCTCTCCAGCTGCGGCGACTCCCAAGCTCTCCTGGACTGCGCCGGGCCCAGCCCCGGCCGCCCCGTCGCCAGGCAGCTGGTTGGCCCGTGCGCCATGGGTAAGGGGCGGGCAACAAGCAGGGCGCGGGTGGGCTGACGAGGTGGATTGTGTCCCAGCGCCTTCCTTTCCTCCCTCCTGCTTTCCTTGGGAGACCAGGTCCTGGGTCCTACACCGGACGCGTTCTCCGCACATCCTCAGCCTTCGGGGCGGGGTGGGAGTGGGGGCGGTTCGGCGGGTCCCGGAGTGGTATGTCTCAAGTAGACGCATCAAAAGGGCATGGAGGGCTGTAGCGCGTGGCGCTCTCCTCTGCGGTCCCTATGCCGGTGCCCACTCCCTGAGCCAGACCAAGGCTGTTTGCCGGCATACTCAGGGTACACGCGGGTCACTTTTCCGAGGCGCGCCTGGGTGCGGCCCCGAGCCCCGTGCAGACACCCTTGGCTCACCCGCCCATGTTTTCTCCCTCTCCTGCTTACTATCCTCGGGCGCGTCCGCAGAGCAGACGTATGGCGAGGTGAACCAGCTGGGCGGCGTGTTCGTTAACGGCCGCCCCCTGCCCAACGCCATCCGCTTGCGCATCGTGGAGCTGGCGCAGCTTGGTATCCGACCCTGTGACATCAGCCGGCAACTTCGCGTATCCCACGGCTGCGTGAGCAAGATCCTGGCGCGCTACAACGAGACAGGCTCTATCCTGCCCGGGGCCATCGGGGGCAGCAAACCCCGCGTCACCACCCCCAACGTGGTCAAGCACATTCGGAATTACAAGCAGGGCGACCCTGGCATCTTTGCCTGGGAGATCCGCGACCGACTGCTGGCCGATGGCGTCTGCGACAAGTACAACGTGCCCTCTGTGAGCTCCATCAGCCGCATCCTGCGCAATAAGATTGGCAGCCTGGCGCAGCCCGGGCCCTACGAGGTGAGCAAGCAGCCACCGCCACAGCCTGCGCTGCCCTACAACCACATCTACCAGTACCCTTACCCAAGCCCTGTGTCGCCTACGGGCACCAAGATGGCCAGCCACCACGGGGTCCCGGGCACAGCAGGCCATGTCAGCATTCCCCGTTCATGGCCCTCGGCGCACTCGGTCAGCAACATCCTGGGCATCCGGACGTTTATGGAGCAAACAGGTCAGTCGTGGAGGCCTTCTGTAGCCTTTTTGGAAGGGGCAGAATCGGAGATTGGGGGGTGGGCATGAAGGTGAGGGGTCACACTGCTTGTCCTCCTTGGACCAGTTTTGGCCCTGGGGACATCTGGGGCTGGCCAGAGAGTCTGAGGGTCCCAGGCCTTCTGTGGGAGTCCTCGGACATCTTGAACTTTTTATGACAAATATGGAAAATATTTCCCAAATGGAAGAGCAATCGTAGACCACAAATTCGGAGGCCTGAAATTGCGCTTTTTCATTCTTGCAAAAAGTATGCAAACTCCTATCGTCAGATCTAAGCCAAACAAACCACAAAGTCAATTCTGCGACCCTTTCTTAAGGGTCTTTCCAGATCCATCACTGTTTCCCAAAGGGTTCTGTTCCTCCCAGGACCAAAGGCTCTTTTGAGTAAAAAGCAAAAGGGCCGCCTGTCTTGTCTAGTGGCCTAGATATCCAGCAGACCCATGGCCTTGCAGGTCCTGGAGCTTAGACAGTGACAGTGCCCCAGGACTGCAGCTATTCTCCAGTGAAATCTCACAGGATTGCTTGTAATTAGAACTCAGCAAATTGCTGGTTATCTTTTTCAGTAGGGAAGGAAGGGGGAGAAGGAAGGAGAAAGGATGGGGCGGCCTTGGTGCTGGGCTTGAGAAGAACCTGTGTGGGCCGGACCAAGTCCCAGTTTCTTCGCACTGTCCCTTGCTCCCAGCAGCTGGGCAAGGGACGGCCCACTCTTATGCGAGCAGACTCAAGAGGATGGTAAAAAGTAAAATTTACCACAGCCCAAGGGGTGGGGCGGGGGAGGGAAGAAACTGAAATCTTAGCTTCAGAGGCAGTGGGGCACTCCGCGAGGCCTCGCACGTTGTTTCTCCTGGTAGCTCAAACCCAGCCTGGGCCACTGGCTGAGGCCAAAGCTTCCCCTGGAGTGGCCTGTGGTCAGAGAGGTAACCTCACCAGGTCCGCGCTCAGGTCTGGAGCTTTCTCTCGGTTTCCTGCGCACACACATGCAGAAGGAGCAGACATGTGCCCTTGATGTGCGCTGGTCGCTGGGCTGACGCCTCTTTTGGGAGATATTGGATGTCTCCAGAGGCAGTTCTGAGTAGGACTGTCTCCCAGCTCTCCAGATGCTTGTTGAGACTTTGAGAAACCCAAGTAATTCTCACGAGCCAGCTTTGTATTTGAACTTGAAACTTTCGCGGCGCGCCTCTGGATAGTGGGAAGGCGCCTTGGCTGAGTGCATCGGCCATTATCCCACAGGCCGCCTCTCCTCCAGAGACCTCCTGTTTTGCCGGAAGCGGGTCTCAGGCTGGGAGGAGCGAGGAGCAGCATCTCCCCCTCTAAGAGTGAATGCTAAACCTTGTGCGGCAACCCTGCCCCCCCCCCCTCGCCTCCCCACCTCCGCCGCGGCCTCCTCCAGTTGTTCCCGCAGAGTTTGGCTACTTTAGGTGTTCTGAAGACCCTGACCACTCCCTCAGAGACAAACTAAGTGCTTGTAGGCACGTGTGTAAACGACCGTGGCAGAGGGCTGCGTGTGTAAGCAGCACAGACTGAGATGCCCCTATTAATCCGTCTTGTTTCCCCGCAGGGGCTCTGGCCGGGAGCGAAGGCGCCACCTACTCCCCCAAGATGGAAGACTGGGCCAGCGTGAACCGCACAGCCTTCCCAGCCACCCCAGCAGTGAATGGCCTGGAAAAACCGACCTTGGAGGCGGACATTAAATACACTCAGGTAACCAAGGGGCAGGGTAAAGGGGTGTCCTTAAGCAGGGAAGCGGAAGGGTTGGGGGGTGTGCTGTACTGGGGAAAAAGAGAGAAAGAAGAGAAAATTCCCCCAGGTCAGGGAATGAATGTCTGATGTCAAGATGTATGGCAGCTCGGCCACCAAGACCTGTGCGGTATTTTCTCTCCTTTTCTAAAGTGCACTAGTTTGGGGGAGGCTGGCTTTCGAGGGGATTGAGTTACCTTTTGCCAAGATACCTTTGCTACAAAAGCTGGAATTCGTAACATAGATGGTTGAAGAATCACTTCCTTTAAATAAGACTGGTGAATACCAGGATTCTCCTCACCCCAGCATTATTTATAACAACTTAAGTAGAAATCACTTTGCCAGAGTCGTTACTAGGAAAATTTGAGGCCAATCCTTGCATGAGGATAATTGAGGAGCCAGCGGGAGAAATGAGGATGCCCCGCCTCATAACTGCATGCGCTGGAGAAGAACGCTGGGTTGCCTGCTGCTGATGGTCTGTCTCTCTTTGTCCTCACAGTCGGCCTCCGGCCTCGCCGCAGTGGGCAGCTTCCTCCCGGCCTGCGCCTACCCGGCCTCCAACCAGCACGGTGTGTACAGCACGCCAGCCGGCAGCTACCTAGCGCCTGGCCCACCGTGGCCGCCAGCGCAGACCCCCACGCTGGCGCCCCCCGGTGCTAGCGTCTCTGTGCACAGTGGAGAGCTTGCTGCAGCGATGACCTTCAAGCATCCCAGCCGAGAAGGTGAGGGGCACGGGTGGGGCAGGGTTAGATGAATGCAGAGCAGGTTAGGAAGAGTATGAATGTAAGGGAATGCAAGAGTGGGAAAAGGTAGTGACAGAAATTTGATATTTGGCATGAATTCTTCCTCTGTGTTAAACGTTAAGCCTGTAGCTTCTTGGAGTGGAATACTTTCTAACAGATGTATGCTGTGTCCCTAGAAAGGCAGGCAGAGGTTGAGAGACTGTCCTCCCCTGATTTGTACGGAAAGAGAAGAAAGATGGTCAAGTTTGGTTCTAGCTTATATGCTTTTGGCCAAATTATTACTTCTCTCTGGGTCTCATCTCTCCATCCGTAGAAGGATCTGGAAGCACCATCCAGGCTCTTTTCTCTGTGGCCTGAGGAGCTTGTCTTCTGTGGTGAGACTGCCATGGCACCTGGATTTGCACCTGGATCCTTCCAGGCACTACCCATCTTGCCTGTCTCTTTCTTTCAGGTTCTTCTCTTTTTTCTTCTTCCCCCTCCTTCTCTTTTTTAAAACCAGACCCCGTTCTCTCCTTGAATTCACTTTCTTAAACATCTTCTTGGGAAAGGAGAGAGAATTTCAATCATGTGTCCTTAAGTCTAGATTCTTTTGAATTCTGTGGGATTTGATGGTCCTTTCTGTGAGAAATGTGTCTGGGAGTTCTCTCTCCTCCTCCAACAATTCTCCCTCCTTCTCCTCCTCTTCCTCCTCCTCCTCTTCCTCCTCCACAAATCGACTCCCTGATGAGTCAAACTAACAGATTCGAGGTATTTAATAGATGGTCAACAGTGTGAGGGGAGTTTTCTTACATTGATCTTCAGGTTCTGGTTTTTCTTATCACTTGGGAAACATCACTTGCACTTGAGTCTTCATTTTCCTCATAAGTTAAAGGAGTGGCTGAATTTCCTAATTTCGAACCTGCCTGCATTTAAGTTCTGATCACCAGAAATTTGCAACTTCAACTACCCTGGGAAAGGAATGAGTCACCTCAGGGGTCTGAGCTCCAGCAGCAAAGGAGATGGGGCACAAACCTGGGGGTAGCATAGAATAGAAGGGTGTTCCAGGTTACAAAAGGATCTTTACTAGCTGATCCACCTTATACTTGCCAAGGCGGAAGTGGGAGGCAGATGGATGTGGGCAAGTGGGGGGCAGGCAAAAGGTTTGTTTCCAAGGAGTGACACAATTACATGATGTGTGTGTGTGTGTGTGTGTGTGTGTGTGTGTGTGTGTGTGTGTGTGTGTGAGAGAGAGAGAGAGAGAGAGAGAGAGAGAGAGAGAGAGAGAGAGAGAAAGAGAGATAAAGAGAGAGAGAGAGAGAGACAGAGAGAGAGACAGAGAGACAGAGAGAGAGACAGAGAGAATGAATGAATGAATATGAATAAGTCATCAATGTCAAGTGGAGGAACAAAAATATTTTTTTATTTTCAAAACTTAAGAATTAGAGCCCCTTTAAGCTTTAAACTTAATTTAAATAATTAAGTTTAAGGATAATACCACTTGCCCATTTATAAGAAATTCCAAGTAAAAGAAATTTAAAAAATTGAGAATTAGAACTCCTTTAAGCTTTAAACTTAAGGACCAATAAGGGGGTCTCAGGGAAAAATCTTTTGCTTAGGGTCTTACTCTTGGCTTCAAATCTACCTGCTTTCTGGACAATGAAGTTATCTTTCGGATTAGAGATAGAAATGGAATTTATCTCATTACACAAATCGTTTAACTAAGGTTCATTTGAATTAGAAAAATGTATCCACAAATTTGAAAGATCTCTCCTGAGCTGATCTCAAGGAGATGGAAGGAAGGTTCAGAAAAGGACTTGCTACCTTCAGAGCAAAGCAGTCCTTTGCTAACAGAGCCAGTTTGTCCTGGGGCATTTTGAGCTCTAAATTAGAAACAAATTATGACTTGTGGGTAACAATCCAAAGGTAAAACACATAGTTCTGAAATCAAAACTAATTCTAGTTAATTGGGCTGGGGAGGGGAGGGGGGTCATTGGTGGTTGATTTCCTTAGAAGACAATTTCCTTTCAGAAATACAAAGTAGTTGAATGGCACTTGCATTCATGTTCCTTTTATCATTATACTCACTTTCTATTATGAAGCATCCCATCAATTTTCAAAGTCTATAGCAATAATTAGCTACATTAGTTATTAAATTAATAACAATTTCCTGATTCTCATTTTAAAAGTTCTTTAAAAATACAGGTAAAGGATCTTCCAATAAATGGAACTCATTATTAAAAATGATTTCCAAAACCGACACAAAAATGTTTGTGTTTGAACAAGGAACATACAAATAATGAGTTACATACTTATTTGGGTTAAGAATTTTTATTCTTCTTACTGGCAGAAAAATTGACTTCAAAGACCTTCTATACCTCCAACTGGTCTTTGAAAAATTACGAAGCAAAGTAATCTGAATCACTGCCTTTTTTTCTAATCATTGCTTTAAAATTATATTCAAACAAACTTATTCTAGAAGGCAATTACCGTCATTAATTTTTCTTCAGTTCATAAGAATAGTAAGAATACCATTTGCTGAATTATTTTTTTCAGTAGGAAAAAATTATTTACTGAAAGCAATTTAATATCGTGAATACTCAGTAAAAACAAATATTTCTGATCATCTAGTCCTCCAAATCAGGTGCAAATGAACATTAGCAGTTACCCTAAGGGAAGCCTAATCAATGACAAATTATGTACAACAATTTATTAATTTTATTTTGATAAAGAATAGTGAGTCCGGGTTCCTTATTATTAGGCAAGAAACTATAATTTACATTTCTCATCCGTGAAAGGACAGTTTAATTCTTGGGAGCCAAAAGAATAGAAAAGTTTCACTTTATCCACACGTGGAGGGGTGCTGATATTCTGGGAACCTCGACACCCATCCAAATGTCTTTTCATAGCCAGGGCAAGACCATCTTCCCCTGCTGCCCCCGCCACTACAGGACAGGTGACAGACCTCACCAGGTGTCTTCAGTACAACTGGTATTTACAGTGTATTTTCAGAACCTTCGAATCCTCATTGTTATAAAATCCTTCCCAGCGGGGCTTTGAAAAGACAAGATTTGGAAATCAAATCTATAAGATATTGCACACGCTCAAAGAAATGTGTTGTTTATATTTGTAACAGATAACTCATCACTTCATTCCAATTATCTCTGATCAGGATTAGTTCTTGAAAAATTGATCCTAAAAGTGAACTTTGCCAGGGAGCGCTAAGGCGCTAGTGTCTGCCTGAGAGCGGGCAACTACAAACCTGAGTCTCATTTGACCCAACCCTTCTCAGACCCCCGCCTTTGTCTGCCCCCACCCCCGTTGTCCCTGTGGCCCTGCATTCGCAGTCCTAATATTTAAAAAACGCGTGTCTTCCTAAGATTAAGTTAAAGTTCCTAACATCCAAGGTTAAGTGAGCCTGCAAAGCACTTAATACGCTGGATGGAGCCCAAGCCTCTGAGAAACCCAGGACAGATCCACTCACGTTGTCCTAGGTCTCATGGGTGGGAAAGGAGGCGGGGAGGGGGAGGGGGACTGGCGTGGACAGAACTAAAAACGCAGCAGGAGCATTCGCCCTGGAGAAGGAGTGGAAACTATCGCTGGGCTACTGGGGATTTATTTTTCCCCACCTTTTCTCCTCCGCTTGTTTCTAAGGCAACCCCCGTTGTCCCTGTGGCCCTGCATTCGCAGTCCTAATATTTAAAAAACGCGTGTCTTCCTAAGATTAAGTTAAAGTTCCTAACATCCAAGGTTAAGTGAGCCTGCAAAGCACTTAATACGCTGGATGGAGCCCAAGCCTCTGAGAAACCCAGGACAGACCCACTCACGTTGTCCTAGGTCTCATGGGTGGGAAAGGAGGCGGGGGAGGGGGAGGGGGACTGGCGTGGACAGAACTAAAAACGCAGCAGGAGCATTCGCCCTGGAGAAGGAGTGGAAACTATCGCTGGGCTACTGGGGATTTATTTTTCCCCACCTTTTCTCCTCCGCTTGTTTCTAAGGCAACCGACCCTTGGTTGAGAAACCTTCTCCTCAGATAATTTCTAAACAGGTGTTCACCTTGAAGTGTGTGTACGGGGTGGAAAGAAAAGGTCTGAAAACTTCGTTGGCTGAGTGGCCACAACTGAGTTTTGGAAAGAGAGCTGAGAGATGGGGGAGGCGTAGCGGGAGAGTGGGATCACTTTAACCTGGAAAGGTCTTTACCCCTTCGAAACCTCTGCGAAACCAGATGTGCGTGCTTGTGTGTGTATGTGCATCCTTCGCACAGAGGTGTAGGGCCCAGCTCCTTGCAGCCACAGCAAATTGTTTCTGGGGCTGCGGCAGGGACAGCTGCAGGGGAAAAAATTCCAGAGTTCTCCCTCACCCCAAAGCGAGCTCTCAGAGCTCCCCATTTAAAGGAAGACTTGTTGGGGGAAAATAGGGAAGTTGAAAATAGGTGCCTTTAGGTATAAACAAACGTGTACCTCCTAGTGCAGGAGGAGCCGAGAGCGGCGGATTGGGGAAAGAAAAACAGAGATTTCGAGATCCCAGCGTCACTTTTCTGGCTTCCAGCAGCAAAACTTCGGTCCCTTCCCCAAGCCCTAAATAATAGAGCAACGCATAGAATATACCGCCTGGTCTGGCAAGCCCACTGTCACTTAATCTGGAGCCCCCTAGGTCCCACGACGTGCTGCGCCCACAGTGGTGAGGGAATCTGGATCTTCGGGCCTCGGGGGCATAACGAAGTCCGTCGCGCAACTGAAGCGCGGCCGCTTCCTTTGTCGGTGGGATTCCAGGCTTCTCTGGGCCCTCCACGAGGGGCGTCTTTGGTGACCTACTCCCCACTCGATTTCCCCCTGTCCCACGTGAGGGCCCCTAACCGCTTTGAGAGAGAGCGTTCCTGATGTGCTGGCAGCTCCTCGGGTTTGTGTCCGCGGTTGGGGTCTGGGGTGGGGGCGAAGGAGGAGGGATGTGCGGATCTTAGCTCCTTGCTTCCTTCCCCAGAGGTTTAGGATCTGAGAACCTCCACGGCTCGGGGGTGCACAGGTCGGCAGCACCGCTCATCTCATTCTTTATTAAGCGAGCTCGGGGTAAAGAGAATTGCATCGGGTCAGCGGTCTCGGAACGTCTGCAAAATGGTCTTTCGAGGAGAGGCACTTGCTAATGCTGCCCTCGCGAGTGACCCCTTTAGGGGAGGGTAAGGGTGGGCTCCGGTGGATACGTGGAGCTCATGGGGAGCATGAGTCTCAGCTTCTTTCTTCTAACCGAGTGCGTGCCGCAGCATTCACCCCCGAATCCTCGCACTGTCACCAGGTTTGCGGGAGTCCTGGGCTCCGGGGTCTCTGGTTTTGCACTAAGCCAAGTAGTGACCCTATGCCCTATGCTTCCTCCTGCAGTGGCCGACCGGAAGCCTCCCAGCCCCGTCGGCAAGGCCCCAGACGGTCTCAGTAGCTTACATGGACTGCCTATCCCGGCATCGACCTCCTAGTCGCTTCCTCAAGCCCGAGCCCGAGCTGGGAGGAGGAGGTGGAGCGGCTGGCGGACCGGGGCGCGCAGCTCGGCCCTGCAGTCCGGGGCAGCGCCACAGGACCGGAGGACATGCGGAAGAGGTGCCCCAAGCCGGCCTGCGGGGACGAGGGTGGGGGTGGGGGGAAACGCTCCGTCAGTCCCAGGCCTCGCCCTGCCCTGTGGCCGGCAGCCACACTTCAGTTGTTGACCAGGGTTTTCAGGCTTTTCTGAACTCTAACTTTAGACTGTTGCATCCTCGTCGCGATATATTTGCTCCGACGTGGCCTCCCTCGTCCTGCCTTTTCCTACTTCTCCCAGGATTGTTTCACGGCCTCCTTTCTCCTTCTTTTGTTTTCCCTATATCCCTCGCGTGGCTTCTTTCTTTCTTTCTTTCCTCTTTCCTTCCAACCCTACTTTCCTTTCCTTCCTTGTTTCTCCTTCCTTCCCTTTGTCTTAATTTTTCTCCCCTCTTCCCCACCCCTCCTCTGCTTTCCTCTCTCCTCCTCTTTCTGCTGTCTGTTGTGCTCCTTTTCCTGTGGCCCAACCCTGTCCACCGCCTTCTCTCTTTCGTGCCTTTTACAATGATTCTGTTTCTCGTCATTCCTACTGCTTCTCTGACCCCCACTTCCTTCCAGGAGAGCCCCAGACTGTTCTACATGACAGTGTCCACTCCGCGGCTGGGACTCTTTAGCCTCCACCCTCTCAGAGCTCCCAGCCCTAATGGAGGGTTCTCCAACCTAGGAAGAGGACAGAGAGGCCACAGCCTTTATTTTATATTTTGATAATAATGAACCAGAACAAAACCCAATGAATTGTCCTCTCCTCCCTTCCTTCTCCCCAGGATATTGTCCGAAATTCTGTATTTTCTCAGTGCCCAGTGGCTAGGCTTCTCTTTGCTTCCTCTGAGGTGATGTCACCCCAAAGAAGATTGGGGTAGGAGGAGGGGGGCACTGGGGCTGTTGATATTTTCTCTAGTTAGAAAACCTTGTGCCCTAGAGGTACCCCTTCTCACCCCTCCAAACCTAACCTGAGGGAATCTGGCACATGGTACATGCACTGTTTCTGGTGTTGCGGAAGGGGACAGCACATTTGTTAATTTAAACCACAGTCTGCTTCCAGGTACAAAGGTGCAATCTAGCTTCTGGTTTGCAAGGGGCGAGGGTCAGAAAAAACCCAGAAAGTGTATTTTAGAGTGGGACACAAGAGTTGTTAACTGCTTCCAAGTTCAGGCCCATTGGTGGTGGGACCCTGGACATAAAACTGCAATTTTTGTAGTCATAAAAATGTCACTGGTGAGAGTCTGACATCACCTGTTAAACATGGCTGCCTTTGAATAAAAAAAAAGCATCTGAAGAACGCTTTGTAAGGATGAACAAGTCTGTGTCTAGTCTGGAGTGTTGTATAGGCATGCCTCACCTACTCAAGCCCCTAAGTTTCCAGAAGGATACTATTAAGATGAAATTATTTTATTGGTTTACTCATTAACACTTGCAGCCCAGGTTGGGCAGGAGGTGAAAGGGGAATTAAAATGGGAGGAGCATTTTCAGGGATTTGTCCCAAGAAACTCTATGTCAACCCTGGGGAATAAAGTAGAGAGGTAATATGCAGAAATCATCCTAAAATGGAGTTAATTCTTAGAAGAATAAAGTGGCCAGAAAGCAGTGAGCAACAGTGGAGGGCTTCTTCAGAACATTGCTAACATCCTGAAAGCTAAATTATCCCAGACTACCAAATAATTAAGGAATTTCTAACTACAAAGAGGTCTCTGGCTAGATATTTTGTTTTTCTTTCCTGTGTTGGCTTTCTAAAACTGACAGAAGAGAATTTTGAATTAAAGGTTTTTGCTGGTAAGCGGAGCCGCCCCGCCTGTTTGGACATGTGGAGGGAACCAGTGGAAAAATTATTTTTGTTTTATCTTGCAATTGTACCTACTGAAGGTATTAATCATAAAAGAATATCTGCTTTTTTAAAATATAGAAACATTTCTTCCTAGGTTTTCAGTGTTTTGCCTTTTAAAAGATTCCATTTTATATATAGGACTATTTAGGGCTAGCCATTGGTTTATTTTCTTGAGACCATATAGTAGCAAGCTACAGGGACTGGGCGCAGAAACTGGGTGACACCATCACATCAGAGAGCCAAGACTGGGGCTTGAACTTTGAGTCTGAAGTCCTCAGTCTTTGGTGCCAGCATTTCCTACAGAGAAACTGTCACGATGGTCATAGGAATAAAGTATGAAAAAAAAAGTATCTTCTCGAGTGCCCCTACCTCTCAGCCTGTCCTCACATGCTTGAATGAGCTTTACATGCTCAGTCCATATAATTTTCACATGTCCACCTTTGCTGCCTGGAGGACGGCTTGTTTGGGTCTGGAAAAAGACATCTCAGCCTTTTCTGAAGAAATGAGAAGAATCATATAATCAGCCTCTATTCCTGATTTGCTGCAATCTCCATTTCTCTGGCACTTCCCACTTCTATGTTTGGGTTGCCCAGGGAGAAGGGTGAGAAGAGCAGAATAAAGCAACTCAGGAAAGATGGAAGGTGCCTATGTTGTAAATGCCACCTGCAAAGAACTTTCCAAATTTTTCTCCCTTGTGGTTCCCTGTGCCCCGTGGCTGGAGGTGGGTCTTTCAGAGTTCCTTGGCTCTGAGGTGAGCATTCACAGGGGAGGGCAGCTTCCAGCTACAGTGCCAGCAGACTTTGACATTTCATGTGGGATATGCTGGGATATCCCTTTTCTCTTGAGGTTGAAGGCCATGGGAAGTCCCAGTGAGCTTGGATTAAATTCCTGCTCCACTGAAGTATGACGGAGGCCTGTGACCTCTCTGAGTCATCATGTTTTTATCTATGAAATGCACCCTTAAATGTTGTGACACCCATGGTAACCTGGCTCAGAGGAAGGCTGGCCCTGGAGTTGCTTCACCTCCCTAGAGATTATTTTATTGTTAACAAAGAGTAGGAGAGTCATTTCCATGGTTGATGGGAGATCCAGAATTTAAACATTTTTCAAAAGATCCCATTGGACTGTTATATTTTTTGTTCTCCATGCATATAGATCTGTGAAGGTCCTGGGATGCATAATAAAATTACTTAGTACCAGGCTGGTACTATGTAAAATAATTTGAGAAAGAATCATCTCCTCAAAAAAAAAAAAAAGAAAAGGAAAAAAAAAGAATCATTCTCTTAAAGGCAATTTGTCTTTGCTCTAGCACCTGCCTTTATTTATATTTTTAATTTAAGAATAAGTTTTTTAAAATATAGAGAACTATTAAAAAGTAAAGGACATATAATCACTCAAGTAAACTTTTGTTTTTTTGAAAGAAAGTGTATGTATATATGTATATATACACACACACACACACACCCCTTTAGGAACTTCTAGCAGTATAGAAAAATTGAAATGAAAAGTGAAAGTTTCTTCCTATCCTCATATCAGTCCTTAAAGGTGAACATTGTAACAGACTTACATATCTTTCCTAAAAAATGCAGACAACAGAATATCTCTGTTTCTGTACATGTGCTATTTAAAAGTGCACAGCAAAAAGTTGTGCTAGATATACACAGATATGGTCTGAAGATCTGATCTTTGCATACCAGTAGCTTTAGCTCCACTGTATTCACTTCATTCTATTGAATGGATGCATTATCAACAAGGGTTTATTTAAAACAGACTATTTGTAAAGACCAGCTTTGTGCTTTAAATGAATAAAGACAGGATTTTGTTGTATTCTTTATTGGAGGAAGTGCTTAGAATAGATTGTAAGAACTTCTCTGGGAAAGGTGGCTGTATTTTGGCATGGAGAAAGGAAATCAAACCAAAAAGAAGGAGACTGGAAAACAAGAGACATAGAGCATTGTCCTTTCTGAAGACAACAGGACTTGTTCTACAGATCACTGAAGGGCATTCAAAGCTGCAAGGGGCTGAGGAGTGCCATTTTCTTTTCCTGTGAAGGCAGTCAGTCTCTCTAGGTCAGGAAAGAGAGATAGAGGCAAACGGGTAGGAAAGAACCTCAGTCGAAGAAATACTGGATAGAAATAAAATGTAAAAACCAATACTGGCACAGCATTCTTTTTATCTATCTCAGGTTTATTTGAAATCCATGTGGAATTAACCTCCTGATGAATAAACCCCACTCATTGGCAAGTATGTTCCCCTGTTTTCTTGTTCTTGACTCCTGTTAAAGAGGATGGAATTTATTTCATTGAACTGTGGTCTGGGTTAAAGCACTCTGTAGGTTTCCGGGCATCAGCTTCCCTAGGTAGAATGACATTTGGCCTGACTTTCTTTTCAAAAGAAACTCTATCTGCTCTATGTTATGCTGGATAATATGAATTTAGAATATTGCCAAAATGTGCCCAAGGAGCACATAAAAGGATTGCGCATCCAGACAGGCTATGTAATGAGAAACATTCGATTCTATTCTTTTAATGGATGGGAATTATGCATAAAATTATATTTGGTCTTTACCTTGACCTCGTTGTCTGAACTATAGCCTCACTCACTGAATAAATGCCTTGTGGTTGAGCTGTTTCTGGCCAAATTATTGGATCTCAGCTGAAAAAAAATTCTTCTGTTATTGGATTCTCTTTTTAAAGGGCAAAACAAGGAGGAATCACACTGTCTTCTTTTTCAAGGCATTAAAATGAGAACCACACATTTAGTCACAATCCAACTTGGGAATTCTAAATACTTGAAACAATTATACTTAATTTATTCTAGTCTCTCTTTTGGAGTTGACACCAGTTGAAACCCATGATTCACTCTGAAGAGCTTTCTCCAGGAGCAGCAGTCTATGGTGCTCGTCAGAATACACATCTGTTTCTGTCCTGGCCAAATCCAAAAGTAGAATCCCTGTTACAGTTTTCATGAGTGATAGAATTTCAACTGTATTACAATTTAACAACCTGGGTTGCCTCCACTCTCTGTTTTCTTCTCAAGAATGAAATAAGCTGATTAAGTGTTCATTCAGCTATTAAATTA